ACGCAGAGGCAGCTCGCCTTCCTGCCTGGCTTCCTTCCTGTCTGCTCCGCGCCTGACAGGCCCCTCGCTGCAGCCAGGGGCTGCCCGCACCGGACCGAGGCCGGGCCAGGCCGGCGGCGGGGGGCAGCGGGGGCCGCGAGCGGCGGCGGCGGCTCATGCCCGGCCTGTCCCCGCGCGGGGCGGGCACCGTGACTCGGCTGGGCCCCCAGCGGCGGGCGATGTGAAGATGTCAGTGGGCTGTGCCTGTCCTGGTGAGTGGGGCGCGCGACCGCCGGGTCCCTTCCTCCCTAACCCTCTTCGCGGACCCTCACCCCTTGTTTGACGAGAACTTGTCTGGGGGGGGTGACGATGGCAGGGAGGAGGTTATGGGCTGTAAGGGGTGTGCGGGGCCTCAGTCCGGAGGAGGGTTTCCCACAATTGTGTAAATGCGCAACAGCCCTGAAGCGCGGGGAGGGGGCTCTGGGAGTAGCTTAAGTGTATGTGTTGTGGGGGAGGCCGACTGGGGAGGGGGGTTGGGGGGGTAGAAATTCCCAGAATTCCAGGGCGTTAGCCAATCAGAAGTGACTCTGGACTTTTGACCCCCCCCTCAGGTCATCATAGGGTTGTGATTGGCTCGTCTGGGTTGCCCCCCCTTTCCCTGCTGCTTTTTTTTTTCTCTCACATAGCCTATGACCCCCCACACACGCTGTTTCTGAGGACCATGTTTTGGGGGATGGATTGGTTGGGGCTCATTTTAAACCCCCCCCAACTTTTCCTGTCTGTTGCCAGGGCAGGTTGGCCCTCCAGAGGACAGGAGGTACTCCTAGGGGATGCCAGATAATTGGGCCCTTGGGTCTGGCATCTTTGCCCTACTGGGAGGGGGAATGTGATGGCTCCAGGTTGGGAAATGGAGTGATGTCTGGGGAAGCAACCCTTGACCCCAAAATGAGAACTTGACAGAAGATACAGGCTCAGACCCCCTACCTTCCCCAAAACACATGGAAGCTCCTGCCAGTGACAGCCTGGGTATGAGTTGTGTCCTGGAGTACAGATGAGGGGGTGGGCCCTACCTCACTGCCAGGATGGCAGAAAGGGGCCATGTAACTGCAGGGATAGTCTTCAGAGGGCCTCAGAACACTGTCTATCCCCACTCCCAGAAGTTCTGGGTCCTTAAATTATCTGCAAGACCCCTTGTACTATTCCAGGCTGGAATTGGCTTTCTCCTGGAAGTTGAGTGTCCCTGAATCTAGCCTGGTTTTGACTCCTTTTTCTCCTCCCTGCCTCATTTTTTGGGAAGCCCATACCCCACAACTGGAGCCCGCCCTCCCTCTACAAAATCCCTAAGGGAAGCTGCTAGTGTCAAAGCTTCCTTGAAAATCATGTGACCCAGGTTGAGCTGAGCTGGGCTGGGCACACACTTAAAGTGCCTGCAGAGGCTGACGTTTAAGGGGCATGGGGCCCAGAGTGAGGGCTAGTAGAGCCTGAGGATCTTGGAATATCCTGGTGTGGGATCCTTGGCTCCCACTGCAGAGGGTGGGGGAGAGGAGGAGAGAGAAGACCTTGCCAATTTGGAATCCTGCCTGGTCCCATCATCCCTCCCCCTACCAGCTTTGTGTACATATTTGTACGTGTATTTTCTCTTTTATAACTACTCCACACTGGGTACCCTGGTTCAGATCCATCCATGTTTCTGAGCCCACCCCATGACCCTGACTCTCCATCACCACACATGAGCATAACAGAAACCGAAGCTCGCTAGAGAGATAAATCTTAAATTTTAGATTTTCACTTCCCACAAATAGTGGTAGGGGTTGTCAGGCTGGAGGTGGGTGGTAGGTTGGCCCTGAGGCTGGGTGAGATTCAGTGGGAAGAGAGAGGAAGTTTCCCTTTCAGTCTTTGGGAACAGCATGGGGACAGGAGGAGGACGCAGGCCCAGAGGAGTATATGTGTGTGTAGAGGGGACAACTTCAGTGTCTCAAAAAGCATATTCCTTTTGTGTATCTGTCAGCCTGGCTGGGCAGGAAGGGGCAAAAGGTGGCCAGATGACTAAGGGAAGGAGGGGGGATCTTTTTCGTGAAATGAAGTAGTCTGATAGATTGATGTCATAAAGAATGGATGGAGGTTAGACTTCAAGGAGAACCACATGTGGAGGGGCTTGAGAGTGGCCCTGAGATGGGGAATGGTAGAAGTTGGGGTTGGAGGGGACCAGGCTTGCATGGTTGGATGGGAACACATGCTTGAACACAGGGGCATCTTGCTTGGTAGCATATAGCAGTTTCAGGCCCAAAGATCCCCGCCCCCTTGAGCAGCCCTGGGGTGGGGGCCAGGGCGCCCTGGCAGGCCGCCTGCCTGCTGCCTGCCTGCCTGAGTCTCCTTTGTGCTCTGCTGTCTCCCGGCTCCTCCTCCTCCCCCAGCCCAGCAGAGACGGCACATGCCCCACACATGTGACTGAGGGAAGCCAGAACACACGCAAACCCACACACATGCACACGCGGAAACACCACCAGATACACACACGTACATACTGCTCCCATAGTGCTCCTGAGATGGGACTCTGAACAGCTTCTGGAGGTCATATGGCTAATATCCAGGAGAACCTCTGCTAAGGAACATCAGCACCAGCAAGATGCTCGGGGCCAGGGGCCTGTATGGAGCAGCATGTGGCTCAGAAGGGTTAAGGCTGGGAGGAGTAGGGGGAGGGGAGGAGGCAGCAGTGGTGGCGGCTGGGAGCCAGGAGAGGATGGCAGAGCGCCAGGCCAACGGGAGGCCGGGCACAGACAAAGGAAGGGGGGCAGGCACACAGGAGGCCTGGGTCAGGGAGCCCCAGGGGCCCGGGCAGGGGGCAATGCTGGTACCTAATCCCGTGGACTGGGGCAGGCTGCTGCCATTTGATTCCCCACCTCAAGGAGAGGTGTTCTCCCTGTTCTCGCTCATCACCTTTGTCATTCTTTGCTGCTCCCAGTTCCCCACCCCCCAATTTTAGGGCCTCCTAACTCAGACTTGTTCTCTTTAGCTACACCTCCTCTGCCCTCATGCAACTAGGGATTGGGTCAGAACTGTGAGAGGATCCAACTTCCTAGAGAAGGGGAACGAGGAGGGGGCCTGCTTTGAATATATACCAGCCTTAGAATCGCTTCTCCTCTAAATTTGAGGGGACAAGTTGGGGGGTAGGGTGAGCCATGATCCTGTGGGCTAGGGGCAGAAGCCAGAACACACACTCATTCCTTCCCCCATGTGGACAGTCATTTGAGGCCTGCAGTGGCCAAATGTTGGAGGGGGAAGGGAGTGAGAATGGCTGTAGTGCCCCAGGGCTGAGCTTGTATGGAGTGGGGCTGGAAGGCCAGGCTTCCAGCCTCAGGCCCTCCTGTCTCACTGTGATCTGTTCAGGTTGGGATAATCTTTGGCCTTGTGCGCTGTAAGGATCTCTGGAGATAAACTGCGTGTAAATGCACTTAGAAAAGTTTAAACATATGAGACAAATAAGAGTTGTCCTGTGAGTGGGGGAGGAGTGTGGTTATCCCAGAGTTGCACTATACATTTGGGAGTCAGTGGGAATGGCAGGTCCTGCTGGTAGGCAGTATGTTGCAGGATCTGACTGAATGTCGTATGTTTCAATATATTTGGGGAGGCTGGGGTATATAATATGGCCAGGCTGTGATAGGAAATGGTATGTAGGTTTCTGGGAAGGTGGTTTATGGGGTCCATTGCTGTGTAAAAAATAGTCTGTCACTGGCTCACAGGAGTGTAACACAGTTTGGTGTGTGCATTGGTGTCAAGAAGCACATTTGCCATAGGTTCCAATGCATATGGAAGCCAGGGTCTGACGTAAGCTGTATATGTGTGTCCAGCGTTTAGGGTGTATTTAGGATTAAGTGTATCACAGGTTGAAGTGTATCAAGTACTGTGAAACAAGATGTGTTATTTACATGTGGAAAAATGTTCAGAGCGAGGTGCAATATTATTGCTCTGTTGACTGGTGTGTATGTCATGGGAAGTCTTGTCATTGGGGCTGTGTGTGAACATGATGAGGGGAGAAAGAAGGGAGAAGGAGGCTGTTACTCAAATACACACACACACAGGGCTGGGAGTGTGTGTGTGCATGTGTGTTGTGTGTATCTTCCATTCTTTTCCCTCTCTGTCCAGGTAGTAGGGTCTGGACCACTACCCGGTTTTAGAAACACTTCATACTTTCAGATGTCCCTACTGCATTGGAGAACAGGCTCTACCCCACTAACCCCATACCGTTTTTTCCCCAGAGTGTGTGCGCGGGAATTCTGCAGTAGGCTGGACCCCTTCTGGGGACCCTGAGATGGGTACAGGCATGTTTGCCTTCCCAAGCTCTGACAGCGCCCCTTTCCCTGCCACCCACGTGTCTTCAGTGGTGGTGGTAGGGAAGGTGGCTTCCTGTTAAGGGTGATCTGGAATAGGGCTGGAATTTAGCTGGTTTGGGGGCAGGGAAGCCTGGAGTGTCCCCCTACCTCCAATCAGTGTTTACTGGCCGATGTCAGAATGTGTCTCTGTCAAAAATAACCCCCTGGAGCCTCCCCCCAGCTGCTCTGGGATTTCACCAGGGGCTGAAGCCCAGGATGGCATCCTAGACCAGCCTTCCACCTGAAAGATCAGGGAGGAGAGGGGGAGAGGTTTAGGGCAGGTTTGGGGGTCAATGTGAATTTTTGGTTGTCAGCAGAGAGGAGAGCTTCCTCCTCCATCCGTGCTTGTGGCTTGGGCTTCCCTGCTCACCCCTGAGTACGGCCTGGCGCTGGCGGAGGGGGTGCATTTCCTCCTGGGCCCCCCAGGCCTCTCCTTCCTCCAGGTCTCTCCCCGCCCAGTCTGTTCTGTCTGTATCTCTAGGTCCCGTCTCTCCCAGTCTCTGTCTCTCTTTTGTTTTTCTCAGCAGTCCCTCCCTCCCTCCCTCGCTCCTTCTTCCTCTTTCTCGCAGGGAGGGGGCGGGGCCGGTGGGGGCAGCTCCACCCTCCGCCCGCCCTGGGGCCTCATTCTGAGAGAGACTCGCGGAGAGCAGTGAGTGAGCTGGGAGGGAGAGAAAGGAAGAGGAAGGGAGCCGGCGGGTGCTGTGTGTGTGTCTGTGAGTGTGCGAGTGGATGTGAGTGCGGGCCCCGTCTCTCCTGGTGGCCCCAGAAAAGGGGCCCGGTGGCCTGGGGAGGGCGGGCGGGCTGCTCGGAGGCAGAGGCAGCTAGAGGCGGCGGCGGGAGAGCCGAGGAGGAGGAGGAGGAGAGAGGAAAGAGCGGAGCAGCCATTGTTGAGCGAAACCTTGCAAACAAAGAAGGCTCCGGACTCCCCGCGGCCCCCCGCCCCCCAGGCCGGCCCCCTGGCCCCCAGCCCCTGGCCCAGTGGCCATTGTAACTTTCCCCCGGGGCTGTGACCGCCAAGGGGCGGGCGGAGGCTGTGCGTGCGAGGCTTTGTGCGGCCGGTGGAGTGGGGCTCCCAGCCAGGTCTGCCTGTCCCACTCGGGACATGAGCGGCTGAAGTTGGGCCCTCCCCAGTCCTCGCCCCTGCTAGGACCTCTCTGAGCTGTCAGCGCTCCCGCACCTCTCCTGGCCCTTCAGTTCTCTCAGGTAAGTCTGGAGCCTGGTGGGGTGGCTGGAACGTCCTCAGTTTGGCCGGGGCCTGTGATGCTGGCGAGGGGGGAAGGGAGGGGAGAAGTCCCGGCTGCGAGAGGTGGGGGTGTACAGGCCTGCTGACCCATGGTCAGCCCCAAAAGGAGGGGCCTGCCCATAGGTCAGGTTGGTTGCCATGGAAATGCCCAGCTGGAGGTACCCCCCTCAGCCTCAGGATGGAGCTTCCATCCTGAGAAAACTTTCCTACTTCTGGGCTCTTCCTCTTCTCTCCCCCTTCCTAAGGGCTTCTACTTTGCTAGTGGTGGGAGCAAGGGCTATGTCTGGATACAAAGCTGGATGACACCTCCCTTTCACCCCTAGCCCCCACCTTGCTGCCTCCAGCCTTGCTCCTGGGGACAGGCAGCAACAGGGACAGATGGTCTGGGTGATATTCCCTCCCCTTCTCACTCCCTAGCCCTTACACTGGGGCTATTGGGAGTTGCTAGGCTCTGGAGAGAGGCTGGGTTTGTTTGTGTCCATTCATTGGAGGTGTAAGTAGAGGCCCCAGAGCTTCAGGTTTTAGCTCCTCAGAACTATTACCCAGTCCTGTGCAAGTCCTGTCTGTTCCCTGGAGACAGAAACTGAGGCCCTGTGACTGTCTTCAGAATTGAACCCAGGTTTCTTGCTTGTCTTCCTTTTATAGTCTTGAGCTGACACATTTCTGCAAGTGGCCCTGAAACTGAGGAGACACGGGTAGCTAGGGTTTTGGGAGAACAGTGGCTTGGTTAGAGGACAAGGGCCAGGTCTGAGAATCTAGACTTTCAGGTTCATTGCCCAGGCCTGGCCTCTGGTGGGCTGTGTGAGCTTAGACTTCTGTGTGGCCTTAGTCTGCCTGTCTGTGGAATGAGGGGACTTGAGGACAAGGTGGGGACAGTCTCTTTCCTGAAGACATTGCTTTTCAGTCCACACTAGCATGTGAAGACTGTTTGTGCTGTGCTGTTGCGTGTGGATGTGGTCTGTGGGAGCTCTTGCATGGGGTGAGGGCTTGTTGCCTCTGGGTTCCAGCTCTTCTAGGCATGTTGGGGCGAGCTGAGGGTGGAAGCCTGTTAGGCAGGATGGGGCACACACGTGTGCAGGCACACACAGGCTGACTCTTGGCACCTGCAGAGACTGTGCAGTGTGAGCTCCTCTGGGACCCTCCTTTTGCCCACATCGTGAAGGGGGGCCCTGGGGAGAGAATTAAATGACACAAGTTGGCACAGGGTCTTCCTTTGTCTCTTCCCCCCAAAGAACAAGATAGATTTTGTATCCAGACTAGGGAGAGGGTTCATCCATGTAATAGAGGTAGCCTTCCAATGCAGTCAAGTTTCAGGGGCTTGTGGAAGCAGATACCATGGGGGTGAGAACTTATGGGGTTGTGCCTCGGTTTCCCCCTTCTGTTTGGCAGGAAGGAGGAAAATGGAGTCGTGGGAGTACCTGACTTATACCCAACAATGAATGTGGCATCAGGAACTCTATCGCTGATTGAGGGGAAGAGGGTGTGCACATGCACAGACATTTAGAAGTAGAAACCTCTGCCTACTTGCCACTTGTCTCCTAGACTAGGCTTCTCACCATGCCCTCCCTCCCCTCTGAACTGAGTCTCCATCCCAGACCACTTACATAATGTTTGTAAGGTGGGTAGGGGAGCTCTGGGAGCATAGTGCCTAAGACATCTGACTGCTAACCAGAAGGTTGGTGGTTCAAGGTGGGTAGGATCTGGTGGAGAGAGTCTCATCTATCTTCCACTCCCACTTCAAGTATCAGAAGAGAAAAAGGGTTGAGGCTTTGAGTTTCTGGTTTGGAGACAATACCCTACCCATTGGTGGGTGTGGGGGAGGGGTCTGGGCTGATAAGGGAGTGGCAGTTGGTGGGGGAGGCAGAAGGCCCAACTGGTTATCTGATGGGTGTCACCCAACAGAACCCCCCCTCCTTTATCTTTCTATCCCCTGTCCTCCTGAGACACTAGCATGGAGGAAGGGCTAGGAATTAGCAATCCCCCCTTTCCTTCTCCCCTCAAACTTGGTCTATAGAGGACAATAGAGATGTTGGGTGGTAGAAGTAGTACGGAATATGGGAATCAAAAATTCTGGGTTCAAGTCTTAGTTCTAGTTACCAGCTCTAGGATCTTGGCAAGTTCCTTTAAGTCCTCAGCTACCTCATCTTTAAAATGGGGATAATGTTACAGTCAACCCCGTGACCTCACAAAGTTGTAACGATTGAACAAAATAATGTAGACAAAAAAGGTTTATGAAAATTAGATTCTAATGTTTGGATGTTACTTAATTCTCTTGTGGTACAGACATTTCTTCCCAGCTTCATTTCTTCTCCTGAAATCTAGGGATCAGCCATATGAAGAAAGGGAGTTTTGGGTGTGGGGTGGGATTGAGGGTGATACTCCTAGTTTCTTTGTTTTGTTTCGTTTTGTATTGTGAGTTGGGTGAAAGTTTACAGAGCAAATTCACTTACCATACAACAGCTCACATACACTTTGTTTCATGATATTGACTACAATTTACCACAATGCAACAGCTCCCCTCCAACTTCCTCCCCATAGTTACCTCTTCCCTGTGTCCTTCACTCCTGCCCCCCCACCCCACCCCTTTGTGCATACACAGCCCTTCTATACTCCCATGATTGTTTTCTCCAAGGAGTGTATCTACCTAGTGTAAAAATGTTCACCTCATATGCCTGTCTTTTGTTTGGCTGGAAGCCACAGGAGTGGGTTCAGTTCCAGACCTGAAGGACAGCTAGGGGCATAGTGTCAGGGGTTCCATCAGGCTCTTTCAGACCAGCAACCTGGTCCCCCTTTTTTTTTTTTTTTTTTTAAATGATTTTGAGTTTTGTTCCACGTTGTTCTCCCACTCCATCCAGGGTGTCCTACATAGATCTCCCTCCGAGTGGTTGATAGTAGTAGCCAGGCACCATCTAGTTCTTCTGGTCCTTGGCTCCCACTACAGAGGGTGGGGGAGAGGAGGAGAGAGAAGACCTTGCCAATTTGGAATCCTGCCTGGTCCCATCATCCCTCCCCCTACCAGCTTTGTGTACATATTTGTACGTGTATTTTCTCTTTTATAACTACTCCACACTGGGTACCCTGGTTCAGATCCATCCATGTTTCTGAGCCCACCCCATGACCCTGACTCTCCATCACCACACATGAGCATAACAGAAACCGAAGCTCGCTAGAGAGATGAATCTTAAATTTTAGATTTTCACTTCCCACAAATAGTGGTAGGGGTTGTCAGGCTGGAGGTGGGTGGTAGGTTGGGCTACCTGAAGCTGGGCTGAGGAACAAATAAATAAATAAACAAATAAATGTAGCTGCCACTGTTGGGAGGGGAGGTACTGTGTCAGGAGTTGAGGGGAGAGGTGGGGAACATGGATGTCCCACCCCAACTGTAATGCCTTTTATTTTTTGGCTGAGGATCGCATGGTATACCAGTCACTTGGACTAATTGTTTCCATGAATTGTTGGTTTTCTTCATTCTTCTTTGTTCTGGACTAGGAGAGACCCATTGTTACATCTAGATGGCCACTTGCAAGCTTTTAAGATTCCAGTCACTACTTACCATAGTAGGATGTGGAACAATGTTTTGTGTCTTATGTCATGCCAATTGAGCTTGATCCCCTCTGCAACTATGGTCCTGAGCTCACAGGTCCTACTACTTGCTCCCTCTGGATGGATGGCTGTGGCCAAGAAGTGACTACAGTCTTGCCCCTTGTCAGCTCTACTATGTATCTGGGAATTCTTATAGAACATAGCAATACATTTGTAGAAACATTGTCTGCCAACCCTGTACATGGTCTTGGGCACACTTCCCCCCTGCATAGCTATACCTAATAGTTAAGCCTGTCCATCCAACTATCCATCCATATATCCATGTTTGCCTTCATTGACAGTGCAGTACTGTATGTGCAGAAGGGTTCATCTTTGTTGTCTGTACCTTGCATGTACCTCTCTATGTCTTCCTCTTCCTCAATGCCACCGTGTTGATCACTCACATTTGGTACATTGCCCTTCTCTTCACCCAAATCAGTACTTGTCTCTACCTATCTAACAGTGTTCCCTCCCCTCCTTTCCCACCTCTAGTAACCAACAAAGAAAATTTTCTTCCATATATAAACCTTTCCTTGACTTTTTACAATAATGAACTAATACAATATTTGTCCTTCTGTGATTGACTTATTTCACTCAGCATAATGTCCTCCAAGTTCATCCACATTGTGCAGTGTTTTGCAGATTCTACGTTATTCTTTAGGGTTGCATAATACTCCATCGTGTGTTCCATAGTTTGGTTATCCATTCCTCAGTTGATAGACACCTAGGTTGTTTGCATCTTTTGACTGTTGTAAATAGTGCTGCAGTGAACATGGATCTGCATATATCTATTCTTCTTCTGGTTGTCACTTCTTTAGGATGTGTTGTTGTTTTTATATGCCATTGAGTCAGACCCGACTCATAGTGACCCTTCCTTGGGTTTCAGAGGCAGTATCGCTACAGAAGTAGATTGCCCCATCTTCCTTCTGAGGAGTGGCTGGTGGGTTGAACCGCCAGCCTTCTGGTTAGCAGTCAAGTGCCTTAGGCACTAAGCTACCAGAGCTCCCTCTTTAGGATATATACCTAGCATATATAGTAATGGAATGGCTGGGTCAAATTTTATTTCTAATTCCAACTTTTTAAGGAATCTCCATACTGCTTTCCACAGTGGTTGTACCATTTTACAGTCCCACCAGCAGTGTATGAGAGTCCCAATCTCTCCACATCCTCGCCAGCAATTGTTATTTTCTGTCTTGTTGAACTTTGCTACTAGTGCTGGGGCAAGATGGTATCTCATTGTTGTTTTGATTTGTACTCCCAGTTTCTTAATAAAACAAAATTGGAGCCAGATTTAGAAGCAGAGATAGGTGCTCCTTTGAGTCCCTTCCCTCTCTAGTTCACTCCTCTCCTGTTGTAGCTGCCCTGGGAGCTCCATAAGACCAGTCTGTCTTTAGGCTTTCTAAAGACCTCCTGAGAAGGGCTCAGAGGATTCCTTCTTTTCCTTTCAGGTTGTTCCTCAAAGTCATTCAAGCTGTACTCACCGAAGGAGCCCCCGAACGGCAACGCCTTCCCCCCCTTCCATCCTGGCACCATGCTGGATCGGGATGTGGGGTGAGTCTTTTGCCCACTTCCCAGCCCTTTACCAAATGGGATCCTGCCTAGAAGAGGGAGGGAGTGACTCCCATAACTCCTGTCTTCCATCCCCATTCTCATGGCCTCTTCCCTTACACAGCCCAACTCCCATGTACCCACCTACGTACCTGGAGCCTGGGATTGGGTAAGTGGAGTCCAATGGGGAGGGAGGTACTTTGATTTCTATTATGGGGGTGGGGAGGCATTACTTCTACTGACCTCCCTCCTTCACTTCCCTCAGGAGGCATACACCATATGGCAACCAAACTGACTACAGAATATTTGAGCTTAACAAACGGCTTCAGAACTGGACAGAGGTATGGCCAAGGGAAAAGGGGCTGGAAGTGGGAAGGGCCACCTGAGTACCCTTGTGGGATGCCTCATGACCCACACACCCCTCCCCGTGATCCCTAGGAGTGTGACAATCTCTGGTGGGATGCTTTCACGACTGAATTCTTTGAGGATGACGCCATGTTAACCATCACTTTCTGCCTGGAGGATGGACCAAAGAGATATAGTGAGTGGCCTCTGAGTGTCCCTTGTGGGCTTGGGGGTCCTGCCAGTCTGCCTGTGAGAGTACATATGTCTACTTCTAAGGCCTGGAAGTGAGTGAATTGTCCCAGGGATCTGTGTTGGCAGGGGGAGGTATCTATCTGCCCCTTTTGAGGTCCTTCTGTCCTGAAGAGTTTGTCTCATCTCTGCAGCCATTGGCCGGACCCTGATCCCACGCTACTTCCGCAGCATCTTTGAGGGGGGTGCTACGGAGTTGTACTATGTACTTAAGCACCCCAAGGAGGCATTCCACAGCAACTTTGTGTCCCTCGACTGTGACCAGGGCAGCATGGTGACCCAGCATGGCAAACCCATGTTCACCCAGGTCAGCAGTCCAGCTAGAGGTGGGATAGTGAGGCACCTGGGTTTGCTTTCCTTCTTTCACAAAATGTACTCACAGCTATCCCTAGAGAGTTACAACAGGAAAGTGGCAAAACGAAAAGGGAGGGCAGGCATGCTGCAACATTCAGCAAGCATTTATTGAGGACTAGTTTTCTGGGCATCAGGAGTACAGCAGTGAACAAGAGTGCCCTCATAGTGCTAATAGCAGATGGGTGTATCATTAGCTGCATGGGGAGAAGACAAGGCTCTGTTGAGCATTTCTGTGTTTGTGTGTGTGTGTGTGTGTGTATAAGGGACATAGTTGTGACAGGTATATGGCGGGGAGTGCTGTGACTTTTATGTACCCATATTTACAATGCAGGGCAGTAGTGTGTGCAGTGGGAGAGTTAAGAGCAAATGGGGGAGATTGTAACAGGGACACTTCTAGGTATATGGGGAGGGGACAAGGTTGTGACAAGCCTGTCCCCAGGTGTGTGTCGAGGGCCGGTTGTACCTGGAGTTCATGTTTGACGACATGATGCGGATAAAGACGTGGCACTTCAGCATCCGGCAGCACCGAGAGCTCATCCCACGCAGCATCCTTGCCATGCATGTGAGTTGTGGGCAGGACCCAGGACATGAGAGTGAAGGCAGACAGAGGACAGGGTGGGACAAGGTCTGCCATTTACTGACTGTGACCTTAAATAGAGGAGTGAGGTCTCTTCATCTTATCTGAAAAGTGGGTTTTATAATAGCCTCTGTGCCTCCTTTCTCTTGGGAGCACCCCAGTGCTTAGATGGTAGAGTAGATGAGTGGATGCAACCCTGGTGCCAGTGTTCTTTCTCCTCCCTAGGCCCAGGACCCCCAGATGCTGGATCAGCTCTCCAAAAACATCACCCGTTGTGGGCTGTCCAATTCCACTCTCAACTACCTCCGAGTAAGTTCTCTGATTATCTCTGCCCCATCCTCAGTTGGTCTCAGCTCCATGTGTCTTTCTTGACAAACTGCCTCCTTGTCTACCCCACAGCTCTGTGTGATACTTGAGCCCATGCAGGAGCTCATGTCCCGCCACAAGACCTACAGCCTCAGCCCCCGTGACTGCCTCAAGACCTGCCTTTTCCAGAAATGGCAGCGCATGGTAGCACCCCCAGGTGTGTGCCCTGCACCTGCATCTGCACTTACTAGGCTCTGACATTGCTCCCCAAAGCTGTAGCTTCATCTCCTCATGAAGCTTGCTACCCTTCCCTCGTTCCAGGTTCAGTAGGATTGGGACCAGGGTAGGCTCTGGCTCCTTAGGAGCCAAAATAGGGGGCAGGGGGCCCAGGCCTTCTCCCACCTGAATGTCCCTTCCCTGGCACAGCGGAACCCGCACGGCAGCAGCCCAGCAAACGGCGGAAACGGAAGATGTCGGGGGGTAGCACCATGAGCTCGGGGGGTGGCAACACCAACAACAGCAACAGCAAGAAGAAGAGTCCAGCCAGCACCTTCGCCCTCTCCAGCCAGGTACCTGTAAGCATCTCGGCTTTCTTCTCTCTTCTGGGCTGACCCACCGCTGACCCCTGACCCCTGTCCCAGCCTGAGCTTACTAACAAGCATAGAAGCAAAGACAGTTTTCTCACTGTACTCTGCCAGCATGGGGGGACTCCTGTCACTGAGGAGAGAGTACTTGTCACATGTATGGTTGTGGTGACACAGACAACTATAGGAACATAGGACATAAAGGGACAGAGACAGCTAAGAGAACACACAGACACTCAGGACAGTCTAGAGAAACACAGCCCATCAGAGCACATGCACACTGATGAAGAGGCACACTGACTTATGTGCATCTAGGACACATACGTGGGCACGTGCACATACTTTCCCCACATGTGTTTTTGATCTGTTTTCTCTCTCTTACATGTGGACAGAAGTTCAGGAGCCCCCTAATCTTTTTAGGGAGACAGACTAGGGAACTAGGGAAGTAGATTGCCCTCTCCCAACGATCTGGTTGACGTGGGCTAAAGGCTGTGAGGCTCTGGACTCCTTCATTGACAAGGGCTCCAAGAGCTGAGGGTGTCGGAGGAGCTGGGTTTTAAATTTGGATGGGAGTAGAGGGTGGGGGCCGTTGAGTTTCCAGGGGGGTCCTGGGGTCCTGGGGGTATCCACCACCCTGGGCCGGGCGAGCCCCTGCCCCGATTATGTTTGGGGACCTCCGCCACTCTCAGGATGTGATGGTGGTGGGGGAGCCCACCCTGATGGGCGGGGAGTTCGGGGACGAGGACGAGAGGCTCATCACTCGGCTGGAGAACACCCAGTTTGACGCGGCCAACGGCATTGACGACGAGGACAGCTTTAACAACTCCCCTGCACTGGGCGCCAACAGCCCCTGGAACAGCAAGCCTCCGTCCAGCCAAGAAAGCAAATCGGAGAACCCTACATCACAGGCCTCCCAGTAAAGGGCTGGCCATGACTACCCAGCACTCTGCCTGCCTGCCCCATCCCTCGCAGCCCCAGGGAGCAGAAGACAAAATGAAGAAACTTAGCATCGAAAATGGGCAGCCTCATCCACCCACTTCAGGGAGGAACTGGACTCACTAGGGGCAGGTGCCAAGAGGCCCTGGGCTGGGCCTGACCTCTGCAGAGCCTTTTGGGGGAAGGGGGAACTCATGCATATGCCCATGGGGCTCCTGGGCCTCTTAAGAAAAGAAATGTCCCGACCACCCCCCAGGGCATTTCCCTCCATTTTCATCTTCTTGACTCCGCCTCCTTCAAGCCTGGGGTTGTCTACACCCACAGCCCTTAGGGACTTAAAGTTACAGGGCTTGGTTGAATGCCTCCAATCCTTCTACCAAGGTGGCTGGTAGAGAGAGGGGTAAAGCTCTGGGCTATTCCTCCCTTCTGCTACCTATCCTAGCTCCAAGTTTTTAAAAAAATAATATTATTAAAAATGTAAGTTTTTAAAAAAAGAAATCACTCACGTCCCCCCTCTTTCCCCTATTAAAAGTCCAGCTACCTCCCTATTCCTGGCAGATGGGGGCCTAGGGCCCAGGTGGGGGTGAGTGGGGGTGAGTGGGGGTGGGGGCATATGTGTACCGTTTTACACAGTTTGAGAGCTTCAGACCAAGGAGACACTTTGCCATCTCCCTTCCCTTCCCTTTTGGGTGATGAGTTGGGGAAGACATGCCATGGGGTAGGGGAGGCCACTGGTGGCCACATCTGACCTTCTGTGCGACAACCCCCACTGTTGTCTGTGTCCTCATCCTCCAGGACTCTAGCCTGCCCTCCTAGTGCTTGTGACTCCCTCTGTCCCAACCCTCACCACCCCCTTCCCATGGTGCGCGTATTCTTTGCAAGTCCCCTACTAGAGCAGCTGTCTTGGACGGAGGAGTATGGGGGGAAGGAAACCGCCTTGTTTGTTGCTGTGTTTTTGTTTTGTCTCATTTGGGCAGGCATGGAAAGGGGAGGGACTCATCCAGTACCTTCATGCCGCCACCCCTCAACTGCATATCTTGTGCTACCCTTTCCCCCATAGAGGGGAAGGAGCCTCTGAGGGTATTCCAGCTCTAAGCCCACCAGAGAGAAATAGGCCTCTAATCCCCCAAGCTGAAATTGAGGGTCTTCATCTCCTAATATCCCCTCCCCCTCCTTCATAGAAGGGAGGAGAAGGCAGCCAGGATCCTCAGCTCCATTTTATAGATGGACACTGGAGGCTCAAGGCCCAGGGTGTGGCCAAGAGCAGGGTCCCATGAGTCTAGGCCCAGTTCTGTGGCTTTGCTGCCTTTTCCCTGTGGCCAGTCTCAGAAGTGTTAGCATCACCTCTCTCCCTACTCCTCCCTCTGGTTTCTGGGATCCCCACAGCCTGTTTCCTCCACTCTAGCTGCCACTGTTGGGAGGGGAGGTACCGTGTCAGGAGTTGAGGGGAGAGGTGGGGAACATGGATGTCCCACCCCAACTGTAATGCCTTTTATTTTTTGGGGGGGCCATTTGAGTCATGTATGGTACCGATCAATAAAGAGACTTTTCAGTTTGAGAGTGTCCTGGTTGGTCATTGATGTGCAGTGATGACTTAGTTGATCTTTACATGGCTTCTTCCTGCCAGAGCCCTAAAACCAGTTACTGGGAAGGGGTTGTGAATTATGCTTGTCAATTTCCCTTCACTCTCATCTCATCTCTCACTTTTCTGGTCCTGCTCCTCTGATTGATATCTGTTCTTTACCCTGTAAGTTTGCCTCCAGGTATTCTAGGGCTTGTATTCCTGGGAAGGTGGCTTTTTTTTTTTTTTTAACCACTAGACTCCTCCCCCTGGGCCTGTTGTTCCTCACCCCTAATTGCCTTGGGGGCTGCCAGTCAGGGAAGGCCTTCCTAAGGCCAGGTTCCTGGGATAGACAGCCTTAGATTAGACTGGGGGTTGGGAGTGGTTCTTGTCCAGACAGGCTAGGGATGAAGTAGCTTGGGGCAGTTAGAATACCTACAAGACTCCAGTCCTGTTCTTGTCAGTGAGCTCCTTGCCCCCACCCAGCCTTGTGTCTATTAGCCCAGCTAGCTGAACTATAGTCTCTCCTTGTAAAATCCCTGGGTGGAGGATTAAGAGAGTAGGAAATTGTCTCCTTGCTGGGTTTGGGTGGGGAAGGGAGGGGGAGGAGAGTAGGGAATGCCTAGGACTGTTGCTGGGGGGCAATCTGAAGCTCCAGGGAAAGATGGAAATCTGGAACAGTTACTGTGTGTGCTGTAGTTGATTCTGACTCAGCGACCCTGTATGACAGTAGAACTGCCCCAGAAGGTTTTCCCAGGTTTTGAGTCTCATGGCACATAACAACAACAATCTAAGAACAAATTACCAGGTCTTTCTCCTGCAGAGCTCCTGGTGGGTTCAAACAGCAGACTTGGAGTTAACAGCCAAGTGCTTAACCATTTTGCTAGCAGGGCTCCAAGAACAGCTACTCCAGGAGGAATCGGGCCCTGTTCAGACTCCTCTGTAGGTAGTTACACCCCCATCCAGTCGCTCATCATCAAAGAAGACAGAAACACCCTGCTGTGGGTTGGAGATGGAGTCTTGCACCCAGCAAGCCTCTTCCCCAGTCTCCTTTGTTTTCATCCTGGGTGGGGGAAGCTGAGTCCTCAGACTATTAAACCATCCCCCACAAGAGTCCTCCCCTAGCCCTGCTGTTGTTGTTGTTGTTATGTGCCGTTGAGTCAGCCCTGACTCATAATGACCCCTCCTTGGGTTTCCAAGGCAGTATCACTATGGAAGTAGGATTGCCCAACCTTCCTTCCGAGGAGTGGCTGGTGGGTTTGAACCGCCAGCCTTCTGGTTAGCAGTCAAGTGCCTTAGCCACTATGCTACCAGAGCTGCTAGCAGGAAGAAATAGGAAGAAGGGACTGCCAGCCCCCCGACCCCCTCCAATCCAGGCAGCTGGCCCTGCCCTGCTGCCAGCCTAGCTCCTAGTGCCTCAGGATCCAAGGCCTGCGTTGGCACCCCACACTCTACAGGCCTGGCTTGATTAAAGAACATTTACCAACCAACTGCTGCCATGACTCACTCAGCAAGTGCCAGGTAACACCTGTGGTGGGTCTGTGTTTGGCTTGAGTGTAGGTCTGGACTTTGTGCCTGTGTGTACTGGTATATGTATGTGACTGATGAACTGGGAGAGGGTGTGGGTATGTGTATATGAGGGAGTATATGTGTGAGTACATATGTGTGTATAGACATACGTTTAGGTGTGTGTCTGCTGGTGAATTCATTCATTCAGCTAATACTCATTTAACCTTTGTGGCAACCACAATTCTAGATGCTGGTGATAGTGTGTTGAACAAGGTAGAGAAGGGATGACTGCTGGGCGTGGGTGGCGAGCTACAAGTACGTAAATGGTAAGCATTTGGCTTGGTAGTGGGACTGTGGTAGTGGTAGGGGTTAGGCTGCCGGGGCAGTGGTTGTGTAACTGGGTTGGGGATTTGCAGGTTCACATCTAGTGTGTGTTTTCTAGGAGAGAGGGTCAGGGGACCCAGAAACTCCCTGTTCCTCTGATAGGGCAGAGGAACCCACTATTTGAACTCAGGAAATATGGTGTCCAGGGACTTCCTCTGGAGGCCCAGATCTAGCTCCTCCCCATTTGCCTCCAGCAGCCCCTCTGGGGAAGGCCCTTGGTAAAGAGGGGTTGCTGGTGGGGAAGGGTGATGCCCTCTAAGACTTCCATGTTTCTAGGAGCAGATGTGGGCCCAGCTCCAGGCCCCAACAGGAACTTGTCTCAGCCAGGGCCTCATTGAAGAGCCATGGGGCCCTCCACTATATGCTGTTGGGCTTCTTGAACCTTGTGCAGTCCTGTGTTGTATGACATAGAGTTGATTCTGACTCATAACAACCCTATATTATAGAGTAGAACTGCCCCATAGAGTTTCCTAGGCTATAATCTTTATGAGAGTGGATTGCCAGGTGTTTTCTTCCATGGGGTGGCTGGTGGGTTCAAACTGCTGACTTTTCAGTTAGCAGCTGAGTGCATAACCACTGTGCCACTGGGACTCTGTGCAGTCCTTCCTTACCCCGAAATAGAATCTCAGCCCAACCCCAAATCATCCCTTCCCTCAGACCTCCAGTTAAGTCAAACTCCAGCTCATTTCCTGTTTCCTGGCCCAGCCCAATCCATCCTGAAGTCCAACCCCTCCTCAGGAACTCTAACCAAGCCTGACCCCTGACCTATTTCTTAGGGCTTCTGGTCCAGTTCAGCACAACTCCAACCCCCTATTTTGTACCCTTAGCCCAGTCCAGCCTGACAGTAACTCTTTCCCCAAAAGTAAGACCCAGCTGCAGCCAGCCCATCCCAGTCTAATCTGACCATAAACTCCTTTCCGTAGGGGGATAAGCTCTAAACTGCCATCTCAGGGCCTCTCTCCATCCCTTTTTCACAAAGTAGGACCTTATCTTGGGATTGGTAGAAGCAGAGGAGATAGTAGGATAAAGTTAGGAGCTACAGCAGGAAAATGAGCCAAGGGGTCCTGAGAGTGGCCCAGGTGTGCTCTGGGCTAGGCTAAAGTGAAGGCAAAGCATAAAAAGAATTTCTGAACCAGCAGCCCCCTATTTACAGGCTGAATTTTAAAAAAGGATGGTTCTGCCCTCTTGACCCTGGTTCCCCAGGACTCAGAATGTTTACAGTAACTTTTGCCCATGTGACCACAATCCTCCCCAGCCCCATGCTGAAGTCTTCCATGAAGGTAGAAAAGGAAATGGATAGGAGACTACACACCCTTTTCCACCAATTCTGGGACCCTTTCCCTGAGGCAGCTAAACCTTGATTTCCTCCCCGCCATGCTGCCCCATCTCAGTCCCACCATCTAACCTCTCCAGGAGGAGAACCTAGGGACAGTCCTTGGAAGAGACCCAGAGGAGATCGGAGGAGAAAAAATCTCTTCCACATCATTACCAAGCAAGTAAAGCTGCCGGAAGGACATAGGCATAATTTCTCTCCCTCTCTTTTATTGGTACACAGAATTAGATTGATCACAACTTTGGTTCATAACACTCTCGTCATTGCTCCATACACAGCAAACGTTTATTTCCTAATAGTGAGACATTAGAACTCATAAACATGAAAGGACTTGGTGATAACGTAACTCTAGCTATGTGATCTGTCTGCCCCCAACTCATCCTTCTACCAAGGTATCCATCCTTCCCTAACTTTTCTTTTTATTTAGTTTTATCTCAGCTTTAAGGAGCCCTGGTGGCACAATGGTTAAGTGCTCAACCACTAACCAAAAAGGTGCTTTGAAACCACCCAGCAGCTCCATAGGTAAAAAAGACCTGGCAATCTGCTCCCTTTAAAAATGATAGCGTAGAAAATACTAGGGGCATTTCTACTCTGTCACATTGGGTTGCTATGTGTTAAAAATTGAGTCGATGATACCTAACAACAACAGATCTTGGCTCTCTATATTATTAAAATTTAATTTTTTAATTAAAAGTTC